GGCTTTAGATTCTCAGTGCTGTGCTTTAACCTGCTGCGCCACCAGGGAGGGCCCCCAAATGTCTATTTTTAAGTTTAAAAAAAGCAAGGATTTTCCTCATTGTTCACTTAATAATGACCTCGAAGAAATGAATATCTCCCCTTCATGTTGTAGTTCTAATGAAGTAATTATTGAGAGTAAGAAAATTTTGAGTAATGTTTCCAAAAATTGGCCCACTATATACACATGAAACCAGATACTGTGAAGTTTAAAGACCTCAAAATGGACCTATCTTACCTATCTTAGTTAGAGATAGGTAAATCCATAATAATAAAATGTGTTTAGGCTAAACAAGCCCAGAAACATGTACACTAAAGATTAACTTCAGAAATTTACTGTGGCTAAATTACAGAAAACAATGTATGGATTCCTAGCGAATGAGTATCAACAAAACGTGCCATGTTCTTGATCAAAAAGAGATTTCAGAGAGATTCAGACCCTCTCACAGAAAACAATTAGAAACAAAGGAAAAATAATATCTGTCTTGTGGAACTGGGAGAAACAAGCAGAGCAAAGGCCGTTTGAATTAAGACTCAAAGAAGAAGAGAGAGATGACCTGGGAGAAGAGAAGTCCAGGCAGAAGAGTCAGAAAGTGCAAGGGACTTTAGGCAGTAGGTACAGGAACAATGAAGGAATGACACAGAGCAAGCCAGTGAAGAAGAGGTAATAGGGAATGTGGTCAGAGAGATTAGAATGAATGGCCTGAGAGCTGCTGAATAAGTCTTTTTATCTGACTAAAATGGGAAGACTTCGGAGACTTTGAAGAATGACATAAGCTACATTTTAAAAGGATCACTGTAATATTGTTGAAAATCAATTGTAGGTACTAAAGGGGAAAGAAAGGAGACCAGTTTAGAAGTTCCTGCACTGTTCCAAGCAGGAGATGATATGGTTTGGACTATGTGGTAGCAGCAGAGGTTGGTTACAGTGGCCTCCATTGTTAAAATGTAAGCCCTCAACTTTACTTTACTTCTCTGTGATTTATTCTATCATTTTTCTCCAATTCAAGATTTTATCTTTACCTTTAATTTCCAGCAGTTTGGCTACTATGTGTCTATGTTGAAGTTTTCTTTGTATTTATCCTGCTTGTGATACACTAGACTTTTTGGATCTAAAGGTTGGTGCTTCATCATATCTGGAAATTTTTAGTTATTATTTTTTCAGTTTTTTCCTACTCCATTGTTTCTCCTTCCTTGCTGGGCTCCAGTTACACACACACACACACACACATACACAGTCTCCTGATACTGTCCCACAAATCATGGTGATCTGTTCATTTTCTTCAATATTTCTCCCTTGTTCTTTAGATAGGACAATTTTTGTTGATTTATATTTAAAGTTAATGATTTTTCTGCCATTTCCAGCGTACACTGGAAAATTTTAAGTATCTATATTGTACTTTACTTAAGGTTTGTTTTTAGAGTTGTCATTTTTCTGCTGCAATAACAGTCATTCCTCGGGAAGGGGGACCAGGCCTTCTGTAGGGGAATGTATATAGGGACTTAGATACAAAGAGACATAAATCAACTTCAGTGTATAAACTTTGGATCTGCAACAGCGGCAAGAAGAAATTATGAGCCAAATAGGGAACTTGCAGCCCTAGATATTTAGTGGTATTAAATAATTACAAAATTAAACCGTGGTGATGCTTTTTAAAAAAAAGAATTAGAGCGGGGCAAGGTACTAATTCCGGAAAAGAGCAGCGCTTTGACAGCCAGCGGCCCGTCACAACATCCTGCTCAGGTACCACAGTAGCCGCGGGCTATGGCGTGGAATGCAGACCCACCTCCAAATAGTCTTACAGTCTAAACTTAGTCTGATTTTCAAGGTCCTTATCTAGAGCCTCGTATCTTGAGGCACACGTATTGCTTTTCTCCCCCTTCCTGAGGGGAAAGAGCAAAGACGCTCTGAAGCTACTCGCACCAAAGAACTTTGGCCTTGAATCGGCTCCGCGCTCCCAGTCCAGGGGCCGTGTCCGCTGCAGAGCGCGTTAGCGTTTAGGGGGAGGCTTTTAGGAGAGTCGCCTCGGGTGACACTCCTTCTCTGGGGGGAGAGGGCGGGCGAGTAGGATATTAAAAGGATCGTCGACAGTGTGTGAGGGTAACAAGTCCCTTTGGTCCAGTTTTAGACTGTGCCCTAGTTGACAGGCGTCTTTCAATGTGATCTCGGGGCAGGTCGGTCTCCTATTCGAGCCTCTCGTGACCCAATCTGCGGACCTCGGAGGTGGGAGGGGAGTTCTACGGGACTGCCAGCCCTGACATCCCTTGACCTCACTGTCGGAGGACGCCGGCTCGCGCACTCGGCTGCAGAAGCCGACGCACAGCTGGGCCGTAACAAAGAGCGGGGGTCCGCGGTAGTTCCCGCCCCCCGGAGCTTTTGGAAACTCAGAGCGGCTGCGGGGCGGGGCTTGAGCGGCCGCAGCCAATCGCCAGAGGTCCAGGGCGCCGGGGCGGGGCCTCCGCGAGCTGCGGTGGCGGCCAGGCTGGGTCCGAGCATCCCGCAGCTCCGGACCCGCCCGGCCCGGACATGGCGGCCGTCCAGGCCTCCCTTCACCGCGCGCTGCTGCTTCTGCTGGCCGTGGCAGGGGTCGCGGAGGTGGCAGGGGGCCTTGCCCCGGGCAGTGCGGGTGAGTAACTGCGAGAGCAGGGGTTCCGGGCGGTCCGGAGCGGCCGCCTCAGCGCTTCAAGATGGCGCGGGGCAGGGGCCAGGGGTGCGCGCGACCCCCAGACCGGGTCCGCGTCTGGTGACCCGGGGGCCAGAGTTCTCAGCAGGCGGGAGTGGGAGCCTAGGCGAAACGCGCCAGGAGACCCCTCTCTGCTCGCTTTCTCCTTGTCCGGCAGATGTGCTGACCGGGTGCGGGGACCCAGGTTCGAGGCCTTGCTCTGCCAGCCTTCGGTCGTGGCCCCCAGCTCGACCCTTAACCCACTTGCCTCGCCCGGGTCTCAGTTAGAAAAGGGTGAAAAGTGTTTGCCCAGGATCGTTGCGAGGGATGGATGGGATTTCGGAGATGCGCTTTACCGCCACCCTGGCCAGTTGCAACGTGACTCTGGGTTCAGAAACGCTGACCCTGACTGCTGGCAGTGATGGCCCCCCACATCCTGCCGAGTTCAAGTCTCAGAAGAAAAAGGGTCCAGATCCACTTCTGCCATTCGCTGTGAGTGAACCGGGAGTTCGAGACCTCGCCGAGCTCTAGTGGAAGACAGATTAAAATAAACCCTGCTGTCTGGGGGCTACGGGTTTGAGGAGGATAGTTTCGCCCTTGCTTCCAAGGAGTTAAACCAAGGGTGCCAACTGATTGCCTCCCACGTGCTGAGCCTATTTAGGAGTTGATGCCAATTCTTGCCCTTCAGGAGCTCTCTGGCTCAGTGGTGGAGAAGGACAGAACACAGATACCTGGAGTTCAAGGCAGAGGTATCAGTGGAGACGAAGGTTGAGAGAGGTTGCCCACCCCAGGTGGGAAGAAAATCGAGCCATCCCCAACTACACTAGACCTTAAAAGATGGCCGGATTTATAAGGGTGAAGCGTGCACTACTTAGAGAGACCTAGAAAGAGCAGAGCCAATCCCAACGAAGTTTTAAGGTAGCTTATGACATTAAAGTGTTTTTTAAAGAAAGACAACCTATTTAATGAAGGAAGAGAATTGTGTCAAGAACCTGGGATGAGATGGTTAATTGTAATTGGCTGTCAACTAGACAGGAAATCAAAAGAAAAGGAAGAATGTTATGCTGTGTATTCTTGGCCATATAGCTTACCTCTCGGGACCTCACTTTTCTCCTTAATTTTAAGAAATTGAACTAACACACATCCAAAGTTACGGTCCATAGAATACGGTCCATAGAATACTAGTTCATTCTTATTCCACAGCTTGTCAGTTCTGTGGGCAATAGAAGAGTGCAATAATTAAGAATACTTGAACAAGGTACTTAGCCTTAGGTCTTTTTGTGCTTTAATATCCACATTTATTATATATAGTATCATGGATTTATTTTAAGAATTAAGGTAAATGTTATCTATTAAATAAGTTTGGAAAACACTGCAAATCTTATCCTTCTCAAGTCTTGACACTATTTATTCATTTATTTTTAAAAATTTTTATTGAAGTAACATTTTATGTTTCAAACATAAGTTAACTTCTGTACATAACTGCATTATGATTGTCACCAACGTCAAGTTCTCCAACATACCTTTTATCCATGTTCTTCTCCTTTCCTCTCTTCCCTTCTAATAGCCATCATTTTGTTCTTATAATCTAAAAGTTTGGCTTTGTTTTGTTTATTCATTTGTTTTCTTTACTTTCCACATCTCAGTGAAATCTTACAGTATTTTATTTTGCTTTCTCTGGCTGGCCTTTGTCACTTAGCACTTACTCAAAGACTTATCCCTCCCTAATAAACTCACAAGACAGGTTAGATTTACAACAAAGGGTCCAAGATTCTTCGTTTGCTGCGAGAATGACTGCTACTGGGTATGAGATTTCTTTTAGGGGTAATGAAAATGTTCTAAAAGGTGATTGTGGTGATGACTGAACAAGAATATGAATCAAACTAAAAACAACAGAATTGTACACATTAAAAGGATGGATTTTGTGTTATGTGATTATTAAAGGATAAAACACTTAAGAGTTTATTGGAGGCAATATAGTATGTAGTATGGTGACTAGTTCATAATACTTGTTTTATATTTGGAAGTTAAAAGAGTTGATCTTAAATGTTTTCATAACAAGAAAAATAATTTAACGATGTGTGCTGACTGATGTCGAGTACTCATATTGTGGTGATCACATTATATACAAATGCCTAATCATGTTGAACACCTGAAACTAATATGTTGCATATAACTAATGCCTTGATCTTAAAAAGAAAATAATTACTTGAGCAAAAGTCAGTTTGAATGGGGCAGCGTCAATAGAAAATGACAGGCACTAAGAGAAAGACTTACAGAAAAGAGGGACCAAGGCAAATTATTTATTATAGCCAAAGCAGTTGTGATTAGTTGTCCTTAGGTTTTTGTTTCTTAACCTTGAACCTTTACGTGACTAAGTTTTGGGTTATTTAGGTTGACTACTAAGGCATTAAAGCTATTTCAGTCCTGTTTAATTAACATGATTTAATTCTCCATAAAAATACTACAGGAAGAAAGAAACTTGTTTGCCTGTAGAACTCTTTTCTTCACACCACCTATACATACTTTAAAAAATTCTGGGCTAGATGATTTCTAAAGACCCTCCCAGCTCTCCAAGCCCATGACAACATAGAGTTGGCATTGTTTGACTTTTAAAAACCCCAGTTTAATCTAAAAGTGAGATTTGTTCCTTGTACTAAATTTTAGGAAGCACATATTGCCTGATTCCTTACATAATGAACATTGAGTAATACAATAGACAAAAGCTTTCACTGTGGATTTGTAGGAAGTATGGAAAATGTTTTTTAATCCTAGACAAAATTTGAGAACACAATATTAAATTGTATTTCAGTGAAGGGCTGGATTGTATTCCTGCGCAGACAGTCTTCTTTCCCTTCTCCTTACCCTATCCAAGATTGGATGTTCTGTCTCCTCTGGAGTAACGCTTTACAAGCCTTATCTGTTCTGACTTAGGGATTTTCATTTTTATTCCTGGGGGGTAGAGGTGAGGGAGTGATATTTGCTTAATGGTTATTATTTCTTGTGAAGTTTGACCAAACCCTCTACATGGGAGTAATGCTACACTTCCTATTCTGATATACTTTTCCAGAACCCACCCTGACTACCCAACTCACCCTGATCCTTACCCCCAGCCCTACTTCTAGTATTCACTTTGGAGAATGGATTGGGACTCAATGCTGCAATCATAGGATCTGTGTGAGGTTCCAGACAGTGACTCTGTTTCTATTTAAGATATTTTGTAATAATACAAAAGAAGAAAAGATGTAACATGAAGGAGTAGGTTGCAAAAGTTGACATTTAAGGACTTATGTAATAGTCAAAAATCCTGAGAAAGAATGTAATGAATTTTAAGTTAGAAAAAGCAAACGCCTATCTGGAGGAAAGTAATAAGAAGCAGATTCTCTTGGCCCACTCTGAAGAAAGAGTGAGATTGCTGCTAAAAGGTCTGTTTTGTATCCATGGATTGAAGCAGTCTGTCATTAGGCATACATTTCACCGTGTGCCACATCTAGGAGGAAGTAGGATAATGTCAAGGAGGCTTTTTAAAATTATATATTATAGATGTGGTTTTTAAAAAGCAAACATAGTACAAAAGTTTGTTCAAAAAACATTTATTGATTGCTTACTATTTGTTAGGCACTGTTTTAAGTTCAGTTGCCACTATCAAGACATTTTCATTCTAGTGGAGGATAGGCAATAAGCAGATAAATAAAATGATTTCTAGAGTGATAAGAATGTTGAGAAAGAAAGCAGATGATGACAGAATTTTGAATAGAGGGCAGTGGTTCTTTCCATAGTGAGAACTAGAGAAGCCTCATTGAGAAGGTTAAGTCCAGAACCAAATCTGGAGACTGTGAAGGTGCTGACTTAGGAGATTGGTTGGGGACCAGGAAGTGCAGAGGCCCTGAAGTCAGAGGGTAGAGAAGGTCCTCGCAGTTGCAAAACAGTGAGCAAGGCAGAGACCAGGACCAGGTGATAAAGAGCCTGCAGAAAGCCTCACAAAAACTGGATTTTAGTCCATGTGCAGATAGAAACCAGTGGGCTTTTGGTAAGAGTGTGTCTTCATTTGTATTTTAGGGCATTCTGGGTGCTGAATGAAAAAAGGAGTGATTGTAGAGGAATAGGATAAAAGCCGGGTAAGGAAGAGTCCAATGTAGTGGCCTAAATAGTGGATAGTGGCAATGGAAAGGCTGCCAGGAACCAAGACCTCTTTTATTTTTCTTTGTAATTTTCTATTTTTTTCTTTCATATTTTTTTTACATTATTCTTCATTTTGTACATTTTTTCATCTCAGTTGTAATCCCCATAGACTTCCCACTACCACTTCACCCATGTGCCATCACTACAGTCCCATGTACTCTTCCCACCCCTGTTTAGATCTTTTTCCCTTCTCCTCCCCCATAGAATATCTCTGATTTATAGTTGTTAGTTGATGTTCTTTTTTTACTTTATTACAATTACTGTATATATACATATACATATACATATACATACATATGTGTGTGTATATGTCTGTCTGTATATGTATGTATGTATGTATGTATTTCACACCTCCACATCCCCCCCCCCCCGGATTCCTTACACTCCTGCTATGAATGAAACCATCGGGTAACTTTTTTTTTCTTTCTGGTTTATTTCACTAAGCATGATCTTTTCCAGTTCCATCCATGTTGCGGCAAATGGCATGAGTTTATCTTTTTTTATTGCTGAGTAATATTCCGTTGCACACACACACACACACACACACACACACACACACACCACATCTGCTCTATCCAGTCATCTATTTTTGGGCATTTGGGTTGATTCCACATCTTCCCTATTGGGAAGCAATAAACATTGGGGTGCAGGTGTCCCTCTGAATTACTGTTTTTGTGTCCTTTGGGTATATACCTAGGAATGGAATTGCTGGATCATATGAAAGCTCCATTTTTAGCAGTTTGAGAAATTTCCACACAGCTTTTCATAGTGGTTGCATTCCC